GAAAGGGCATTGGCCGGGGGTAAAACTGTTTTGACTATACTGCCTGTGATCTGGGACTACAGAACACCTCCACACCTGGAAGAATTATCTACAATCTTTGAAGATGTTGCAGTCTTTACAAAACACATAATTTACTAACCCTGCAAGTAATAATAAAATTGTGCTGTTGATGTTTTTCATGGAAAACAGACATCGGTCAGATGTTTGATGATAAATTAATTGGTCACTTGAGCCTATAAGATTTATCTCGGGTATACAGAGTTTTACACAAATATCACCAATATCAGCTCTCAGTGGGTAGTTCAACCCTGTCACAGCAATACTTAATACCATGCATAATGTTGAGGGATTATATTGGATTTAAATATATTCATTTTAGTCTGATAAAACAGGTGGACAAAATAGATTTTACCTGTGTATATAACTGACCCACCCGACAGAGTGACCAAAGCCTTGGGTGCCATGATGACCTCTGTTGACTGAGGTCAGTCTAGTTAAGCTGATACATGATCCAGGTGGATTAGATGTAAACATTTGTCTCTTATATAATCTGAATTGACTGAGTTAAGTACCCTTAACAGAATTGAAAGTATGGTAGAGTGAACGGCTGGCATAAGACCCTGTTTACCTAGCCCAGACCCCAGTCCACTATAAGTACCACCTGGGTTAAATAACACTGTGTGTACATATTTGAAATCCTTGATCAACAAATTGTGAGAGGAACAAGATATTAAGTCATGTTTATTGTCAAAAGAGATTGAAGCTGATTGAAATTGTTGATCAGTTTGTGACAGCTATGTCACCAAACCCTGTGACAGGATAACAGAAATGATTGTGGAATCTCATCATGTCCGCCACAATAAGTTGTCTGCCATGATGGTCAATTGACATTGCTTATTTTGTTCATTTACCAAATCAAATCAACATATATACTTAATTCTGTGTTGGTTAAGAATATGGAAAGTTAATACACTGAGGTTGACTTACAAGCACCATACTGACCGATGAACTTTGAACTGGTATTGACTCCATTTCAGTAACTGTAGACATTGTTAGAGACCCTGCGCCCTCGGATCCACTAAAGAGTACTTCATTTACCTGAAAACTCTAATCACCACTGATCAATATTTCAACTTGTCTTAAAAATTATCAAGATAAGATAGATGTCTTAACATTCAAGTTGTCATATCTTAAAGTTCAGGAAAGGTTAGTAATCTGATGATACTAATGCTGAAGATCAGAACAGAAACTGGCCTAGAGATTCAGGAATTAATTTGAAATCATGACAATCACTATTAGAAAAGAAATAAAATGACTAAGCGCAGAAACTGGTGAGAAATACCAAACAGAAAGTAAAACATCGCATCAACTATACCACACACTAAATCGTGATAACTGATACTATCCTTTATATTACAAACATTGAACTGCATTGTACAAGATCAGGTTTATTATAGCAATTATGTCATGAAATTTTACAGGTAATGACTTACCTGTCCCTGGCAATTCTTTAGGCCCTACACTTATCTATAATGTCATAAGGTGAAGGACAGACTCTTTTTTAGTATTTTAGGGGTACATTCAATAAAAAATTACCCTGTTGATAGAGGTCAGACCAAAGAACCTACTCAATAGTGATGCTTTAGATTTTGGTGATTGAAAAAAGAATAAACTTATAGAGCATATTAGCTAGTATTACATTTATTATGAATTCTCACTGTCTACCAATGTACCTTCTTTTGTTTTACCATTCTCCACCTTTCTATAACACTTTTCTAATTCATCTGGATTCTCTGTTTCTGATTACCCCTACCTCACTCTATTTCTTTCACACTTCCTCCTCATTTCCTTCTCTTCTCACACAATGTATTTTGTCATTTTCTGTGAGTATTAGCTTCTCTGTGGTACAGTTGTATCTGTTTTTGTTTGTGAGCCTCTCACTGTTACATCCGCTTTTGTGTCCAAGCCTCTTTGTGTTACATCTGTGTAAACCTGCCTATGTTACATCTGATTTTGTGTGAACCTGCCTATGTTACATCTGTATTTGTGTGAACCTGCCTATGTTACATCTGTATTTGTGTGAACCTGTCTGTGTTACATCTGCATTTGTGTGAACCTGTTTGTGTTACATCTGTATTTGGGTGAACCTGCCTGTGTTACATCTGTTTTTGTGTGAACCTGCCTGTGTTACATCTGTTTTTGTGAGAACCTGTCTGTGTTACATCTGTTTTTGTGTGAACTTGCCTGTGTTACATCTGTATTTGTGTGAATTTGCCTGTGTTACATCTGTTTTTGTGTGAACTTGCCTATGTTACATCTGTTTTTGTGTGAACCTGCCTGTGTTACATCTGTTTTTGTGTGAATTTGCCTGTGTTACATCTGTTTTTGTGAGAACCTGTCTGTGTTACATCTGTTTTTGTGTGAACTGTGTTACCTGTGTTTCATCTGTTTTTGTGTGTGCCTGTGTTACATCTGTTTTTGTGTGAATTTGCCTGTGTTACATCTGTATTTGTGTGAACTTGCCTATGTTACATCTGTTTTTGTGTGAACCTGCCTGTGTTACATCTGTTTTTGTGTGAATTTGCCTGTGTTACATCTGTTTTTGTGAGAACCTTTCTGTGTTACATCTGTTTTTGTGTGAACTTGCCTGTGTTTCATCTGTTTTTGTGTGAACTTGCCTGTGTTACATCTGTTTTTGTGTGAATTTGCCTGTGTTACATCTGTATTTGTGTGAACTTGCCTGTGTTACATCTGTTTTTGTGTGAACCTGCCTGTGTTACATCTGTTTGTGTGAGAACCTGTCTGTGTTACATGTTTTTGTGTGAACTTGCCTGTGTTACATCTGTATTTGTGTGAACTTGCCTGTGTTACATCTGTTTTTGTGAGAACCTTTCTGTGTTACATCTGTTTTTGTGTGAACTTGCCTGTGTTACATCTGTATTTGTGTGAACTTGCCTGTGTTAGAGATTCACAGTGTTACATCTATTGCTCTTTCTGTGTTTGTGTGAACCTCTCTGTATTACATCTGTTTTTGTGTGTGAGCTTTTCAGTGTTGTATTTTTTGTGGGTGTGAGTCTCTCTGTTGTGTGTGAGCCTCTCAGTATTACATCTGTTTGTGTGTAAGCCTCTATGTGTTACATCTGTTTGTGTGTAAGCCTCTATGTGTTACTTCTGTTTGTGTGTAAGCCTCTCGGTTTAACATCTGTGTTTGTGTGAGCCTGATCATGTTTTGTCTGTGTGTGTGAAGTCAGCTGTTTAAAGAGATTCAGGTTACAGGTAAATATTTCAGTGAAATAGAAGAAAGGAAAAAAAAAAAAGAAAGAAACTCTTTACAAAAGAATTTATCCTTTCCAGATTTAGTGTATAAATTACACAGGTGTATACATGTGATATGCATGTGTTTGTTAGTGTATCTGGTGACTTCATTGATAATGTCATAGGGCAGAAATCGCGTGCAGATTTCATATACAGCCTTTTGTGTAGCACCAGATGACAGAGACCTCCAGTCAGCTGTGGTTGTGAGAAAGTGATCATGAATGAAATATCTGAATGAGTTTTTGATAAAGTGAAAAGCAAACGAATATTATGTGGTTCAGAATAAAAATAAAGTTCTGGTGGTTTGTGCCTTCACAGGAAAATTTGTGAATGAAACGGGTTTGAATTCACTAGATTGAATGAAAATAACTTTACGCTATTCTGATAAAGTTATTCACCATTTCACAACTGATAACGTAGATAACATTTCATTACTTGTAAATCAGAATCATTTCACTCTTGCTTGAAGATTACTAAATAAATTATGTTTTATTTGATGAATGTTTTTTTTTTCAGTATGCATAATTGAAAATTACATATACACAACTGATGATTATATGAAGTAAACTACTAATAACTAACTGATTCATGAAAATGAAATATACCACTGATTAGTGAATGAGATATACCACTGATTAGTGAATGAGATATACCACTGATTAGTGAATGAGATATATCACTGATTAGTGAATGAGATATACCACTGATTAGTGAATGAGATATACCACTGATTAGTGAATGAGATATATCACTGATTAGTGAATGAGATATACCACTGATTAGTGAATGAGATATACCACTGATTAATGAATGAGATATACCACTGATTAGTGAATGAGATATATCACTGATTAGTGAATGAGATATACCACTGATTAGTGAATGAGATATACCACTGATTAATGAATGAGATATACCACTGATTAGTGAATGAGATATACCACTGATTAGTGAATGAGATATACCACTGATTAATGAATGAGATATACCACTGATTAGTGAATGAGATATACCACTGATTAGTGAATGAGATATACCACTGATTAGTGAATGAGATATACCACTGATTAGTGAATGAGATATACCACTGATTAGTGAATGAGATATACCACTGATTAGTGAATGAGATATACCACTGATTAGTGAATGAGATATACCACTGATTAGTGAATGAGATATACCACTGATTAGTGAATGAGATATACCACTGATTAATGAATGAGATATACCACTGATTAGTGAATGAGATATACCACTGATTAGTGAATGAGATTACCAATGATTAGTGAAAGGGACTTGACAGATTAATCCATTTTCAGTGGTAATGCCTCCCAGCTGTGACATAAAGACCTATGATAGTGACACACAATAGGGTTCTGCCTTTCTGTCCACTGTCCCTTTACAGTCATTGTTAGTGAGAACCCATATCTATCACTGATCCTTAATGGGTTCTCCAGGTAGATATCAACATTTTACGATGGTGTGGTCACTGTTGTAAATAACACAACCTGTATGTATTTATAATTTAAATGTATACCTATGATATGTAGACCTACACCCTATCAGAGAGGCACCGTGCTTATACAGCTCTAGGTCCGGTATAGATAGCAGCCCAGCGGTACACCTACACCGCTGTCCTCAGTCGTTCACAGGGAACGAGGGTGTGCACGTGTATAGCGTGAATACACGCGGTTTGTGTTGCAAAGTGAAGAGTGCATAACATCAGAGAGAGTTTGTGAAGGATTACACATTTTGAACAAACTTTCATGATAAGTGTACAAGGAATTCTATTGTTGGATATTTAAAAATCTTGAAATTGAAGATTTTCCTTGAAATAATTTATGAGGGAAATTGACATGATTTTATGTGACCAATGAGTGTGTAAGAGATTATACATGGATTAGTGTACCTGGTGATTCAGTCACACGATTTGTCGGGTGATTTATACACACGAACATTAGTATTGTTAGGCGAGATAAAGTTGAGAAGTTTCCATAACTTAATAGATTATAAGACAATCAAATATAATGACAACAAACTTCTGATATTTCTTTTTCTCCCAAATTGTGCCGATTTAGATCTTTTTACAGTAATAATTTAAATAGTCGACCATGACAAAGTTGTGTGTCTTCCCCACATTGTTTGTGGTGCTCTTGATTGATATGACCAGCGTGATTCTTACTTCAGCACAGGATAGTCGGTGTGGATTAAAGAAAGACAGAGGACCTTGTTATGAATTTGGAGCTAAGTGGTATTATGACTCTGTCCGGAAGGATTGTTATCAGTTTTGGTATGGTGGATGTGATGGAAATTCAAACCGATTTGAATCTCGAGAGGACTGCCAGACTGAATGTTCAGGATACACAGGGGCCGTTGGTGGGACAGGTTGGTTTGGCATGACCTGCTTATATACCTTGCCTTGCTCCGTTGGTGGCTTACCTTCCAGCAGCTGAATCCTACTTGATGCTTAGTTTGCTTGGTTGATAACAGTGATAATCATCTGTTTTACATGATTTGTTGTAGGAAAGATGCTGAATTTTCGCTAGTAAACTCCAACACTTCATGCCTCCCTATTTGGGGGAGACCATTGCTTTTGCACATGCATTGCATGCTCCTTGACATGCTGGCTTCTCATTAGGTGACTCACTTGAAGGCATGTACAAGGCCTTGTAGTGATCTGATTAATGGTATTCACCCGTTGAAAAGCTTTTGCTTGAGTTTTCGTGTATCAACAGCTTACATGTTTGCTCCATAATACAGGTGTATAGAGTCCCAGTGACTAACTACAGTACACATCAATTATAAATGTCAAGGTCAGGGAAGCTTTCTTACTTCACATATTTTTATAATATTGTAGAAAAAATTCTTATTTTCAGTTTTTACCCTTCGATCATGATTGGATCCTCAGAAGATTACATGAAGCAAGGTTTGATGATGTTGATATCATCTACATCTTACTGACCTTCAGCTGGATGTGTTTAATCATTGAAATAATTTTTTCAGACAAAATTTATTTGAGACTGTTTGTCTGTTACATAATAACCATTATAGCATAGTAGCCACATGATATCGCTTAACAAAATCATAAAAAATACATTCACAGGTGAGACTGATCAGAGAGGAAAGATTCTGTAATTTAATTCTTGTAATGGCTATAGATGCATCCATGAGGCTTTTGCAGAATCAGTTTGATCGTTTTTTCTGTTTTTAGTGAAGACTAATTTATAAATGTTGTACACTTGTATGTAATTTACTGCTATAGCAGTGATTGCTATGATATCTATGGAATTGGGCGTCCATTTTTCCTATATCCTTTATATTCCATCTTGATTTGTTTTCTGAAGAATAGTTTTTGCAAAACCTTAAGATATCATACTGTGTCTACTTCACTTGTGCTGTAGACTTTCTATAGTATAATTACCATACTGTACCTCCCCTAGTGTTATAGACTCCCACTAGTCTAGTTACAATACCTCTCCTAGTGTTGTAGACTCCCTCTAGTCTAGTTACCATACTGTACCTCCCCTAGTGTTGTAGACTCCCTCTAGTCTAGTTACAATACCTCTCCTAGTGTTGTAGACTCCCTCTAGTCTAGTTACAATACCTCTCCTAGTGTTGTAGACTCCCTCTAGTCTAGTTACCATAGTGTACCTCTCCTAGTGTTGTAGACTCCACCTAGTCTAGTTACAATACCTCTCCTAATGTTGTAGACTCCCTCTAGTCTAGTTACCATACTCTACCTCTCCTAGTGTTGTAGACTCCCTCTAGTCTAGTTACAATACCTCTCCTAGTGTTGTAGACTCCCACTAGTCTAGTTACAATACCTCTCCTAGTGTTGTAGACTCCTCTAGTCTAGTTACCATACCTCCTAGTGTTGTAGACTCCCTCTAGTCTAGTTACCATACCTCTCCTAATGTTGTAGACTCCCTCTAGTCTAGTTACCATACTGTACCTCTCCTAGTGTTGTAGACTCCCACTAGTCTAGTTACAATACCTCTCCTAGTGTTGTAGACTCCCTCTAGTCTAGTTACCATACTGTACCTCCCCTAGTGTTATAGACTCCCACTAGTCTAGTTACAATACCTCTCCTAGTGTTGTAGACTCCCTCTTGTCTAGTTACCATACTGTACCTCTCCTAGTGTTGTAGACTCCCTCTAGTCTAGTTACCATACCTCCTAGTGTTGTAGACTCCCTCTAGTCTAGTTACCATACTGTACCTCCCCTAGTGTTATAGACTCCCACTAGTCTAGTTACAATACCTCTCCTAGTGTTATAAACTCCCTCTAGTCTGGTTACAATACCTCTCCTAGTGTTGTAGACTCCTCTAATCTAGTAACTATACCTCTCCTAGTGTTATAGACTCCCTCTAGTCTGGTTACAATACCTCTCCTAGTGTTATAAACTCCCTCTAGTCTGGTTACAATACCTCTCCTAGTGTTGTAGACTCCTCTAATCTAGTAACTATACCTCTTCTAGTGTTGTAGACTCCACCTAGTCTAGTTACTATACCTCTCCTAGTGTTGTAGACTCCCTCTAGTCTAGGTACCATAGTGTACCTCCTCTAGTGTTGTAGACTCCCTCTAGTCTAGTTACCATAGTGTACCTCTCTCCTAGTGTTGTAGACTCCACCTAGTCTAGTTACAATACCTCTCCTAGTGTTGTAGACTCCCTCTAGTCTAGTTACAATACCTCTCCTAGTGTTGTAGACTCCCTCTAGTCTAGGTACCATAGTGTACCTCCTCTAGTGTTGTAGACTCCCTCTAGTCTAGTTACCATAGTGTACCTCTCTCCTAGTGTTGTAGACTCCACCTAGTCTAGTTACAATACCTCTCCTAGTGTTGTAGACTCCCTCTAGTCTAGTTACAATACCTCTCCTTGTGTTGTAGACTCCCTCTAGTCTAGGTACAATACCTCTCCTACCTAGTGTTGTAGACTCCCTCTAGTCTAGGTACCATAGTGTACCTCTCCTAGTGTTGTAGACTCCCTCTAGTCTAGTTACCATACTGTACATCTCTTAGTGTTGTAGACTCCCTCTAGTCTAGTTACTATACCTCTCCTAGTGTTGTAGACTCCCTCTAGTATAGTTACTATACCTCTCCTAGTGTTGTAGACTCCCTCTAGTCTAGTTACCATACTGTACATCTCTTAGTGTTGTAGACTCCCTCTAGTCTAGTTACCATACTGTACATCTCTTAGTGTTGTAGACTCCCTCTAGTCTAGTTACTATACCTCTGCTAGTGTTGTAGACTCCCTCTAGTATAGTTACTATACCTCTCCTAGTGTTGTAGACTCCCTCTAGTCTAGTTACCATACTGTACATCTCTTAGTGTTGTAGACTCCCTCTAGTCTAGTTACCATAGTGTACCTCTCCTAGTGTTGTAGACTCCCTCTAGTCTAGTTACCATACTGTACATCTCCTAGTGTTGTAGACTCCCTCTAGTCTAGTTACCATACTGTACATCTCTTAGTGTTGTAGATTCCCTCTAGTCTAGTTACTATACCTCTCCTAGTGTTGTAGACTCCCTCTAGTATAGTTACCATACTGTACATCTCTTAGTGTTGTAGACTCCCTCTAGTCTAGTTACCATTGTGTACCTCCCCTAGTGTTGTAGACTCCCTCAAGTCTAGTTACCATACTATACCTCTCCTAGTGTTGTAGACTCCCTCTAGTCTAGTTACTATACCTCTCCTAGTGTTGTAGACTCCCTCTAATCTAGTTACCATAGTGTACCTCTCCTAGTGTTGTAGACTCCCTCTAGTCTAGTTACCATACTATACCTCTCCTAGTGTTGTAGACTCCCTCTAGTCTAGTTACTATACCTCTCCTAGTGTTGTAGACTCCATCTAATCTAGTTACCATAGTGTACCTCTCCTAGTGTTGTAGACTCCCTCTAGTCTAGTTACCATACTGTACCTCTCCTAGTATTGTAGACTCCCTCTAGTCTAGTTACTATACCTCTCCTAGTGTTGTAGACTCCCTCTAATCTAGTTACCATACCTCCTAGTGTTGTAGACTCCCTCTAATCTAGTTACCATAGTGTACCTCTCCTAGTGTTGTAGACTCCCTCTAGTCTAGTTACCATACTGTACCTCTCCTAGTGTTGTAGACTCCCTCTAGTCTAGTTACTATACCTCTCCTAGTGTTGTAGACTCCCTCTAATCTAGTTACCATAGTGTACCTCTCTCCTAGTGTTGTAGACTCCCTCTAGTCTAGTTACTATACCTCTCCTAGTGTTGTAGACTCCCTCTAATCTAGTCACTGTACTTTGGATATCCTAATATTGAAGGCTTCCTCTAATCTATTTTTAAATGAAAAGGCTGAATATGTGTTTAGGTTTAGAAATAATTTGTCAATGACCATTTCAGAAAGTGATATCTTGAAATGTTATCAGTTTAGTTATCAAATCACTTGATATGCTTTTCCTATATTTTATTGGCCCATTGAACTTAATGAGGGTTTAACCCCTAATGCTTCCTCTCTGTGTAAGTAGTTGAGGTAATAGGTGACCTTTTGTACAGTGTATATTTTGGCCTTGGTAAGCTGACTGGTAATGAATAGTGATATACCTCTTATTGAGGAAAGACTGTAGGAATTGTCAGGATTCCACACAATTACCTAACCAACAGTACAATAGACATTGTCTGCTACATAGCACACACCTCTTCCCTAGCATTACAAACATGATGTTATGTAATAATAATTATGTGACCTTTGACCCATGTAAACTTTAGCCTCAGTACCTCACTTTTGCATAGTTATGTTTGACCTATGACCTTTGTTCCTTGTTTATGGAATGATAGTAGCATTATATGTGTCTGGTCTGGTGAGAAATAACATATAGGTTTTGAAGGGGTCTGGTTTATAATTATGCGAGTTTATCAAATGGTATGAAGTGTAAGGTGTGATGTACACTGTCACTGTTTAATCTAGTGCCAAACCTCTTTGTTAATACAAATGGCATAATCAAGTCTTCAGTAATTAAATTTCCTACCACATGTGAGGAAACTGGTGTTAACAATACACATTTTTGTATTGATATGTGAAAACCAGGTAAATATCACACCCCTAAATTGCTGTAGATGTTTTTAAGAGCCAAAAAAGCTGTTGTAGTTCTTGGTTTCATAGACCTGTTAATGAGAACGCTTGCCCTGTAAAGTATACAATACATTCCCTGTCACATTCTCACTTTGTGTTGTACAACTAAAGGTGTGCATGCTCCCTAGAAGTTTGGCTAGTAGGCACAAATGAAAGTTTAAATAAATGTGTTTAACTGCACCATGTTAGGCAAATTGAATGGCAGCGTTTGATGGATTAGTAATTTCAAGTCTGTATCAGCATAATAAATTCAGGTTAGTCTGTCCTAATACAAATAACTGTACAAATA